TGCTTGCTGATTGTTTCTTATATACACTACCTATTGCAGGTTGTTTCAATGTTTCGCGGCTGCAAGACAGAGGATATGCCTCCGCACATTTATTCGCTGGCACAGACCGCCTACAGGGCCATGTTGGAAACGCGTCGCGATCAAAGTCTAATATTCATGGGACGTTCTGGTTCTGGCAAGACGACAAGCTTCAAACACGCCTTATACTATTTGGCGTTGGCCGCCGGTATGTAGTGTGCTGTAACTGTAAGTGGTGTGTATGTGTTGGCTGCAATTGTTGCTAGTTTAGCTGCAATTGTTGCACGCTTGCTGTGAGTGGCGCGCATGTGTGTGTGGGGTGGGCTGTTTGTGAATGCGTGGTTGATTAGCTTCGCGCTGCTTGGCTGTTTGCCCGCCGCTGGTCGCCCACCAATCGTAACGCATTCGATTTGATGCGGTCTTGACTGGCAGTTAGCCTAACTGACTCAGAATGGTGGCAAAAAGCAACGGCGCACAGTGGTTGGAGAGGCCGCTTTTTATGCGAAAGAAAGAAAGACTGTTACGATTTTAATAAAGCTGTGGGATCATAGTACTTTTGTCATGCTAAATCAGAACATCCCATACACTTTATAGTTTGACAGTTGACAGCTGTAAGATTAACTGTCAATTTCTCTAAAAAAAATCTGTCAGTTTCTACAAAAAAATAAGTAAATCTTTGCAAAAATGCTACTGATTAGATTTTTAGACACGCTAGTCACTTCTTTTAAGTCAAATCGACTACCAATTTCTATAAAAACAAAAAAATCTTTGCAAAAATGCTACTGATTAAGTTTTTAGACACGCTAGTCACTTATTTTAAGTCAAATCAAAACTTTCACATTTGACAGCTGTCAAATCAACCGCCTGTTTCTCTAAAAAGAAAACAAACTTTCTGAAAATGCCATTAATTAGATTTTTAGACACGTTAGTCACGAATTTTAAATCAAATTAAAACTTTGACAGTTGACAGCTGTCAAATCGACTGTCAGTTTCTAAAAAAAATTAGGCAAATATTTTAAAAATGCTACTAATTAGGTTTAAACACACGCTAGTTAGCAGTTTTATGTCAAATTAAAACTTTGAAAGTTGACAGTTGACAGTTGACAGCTGTCGAGTGGACTGTAAATTTTTCTAAAAATAAAATTCTTCTAAAATGCATGTTCTTAGGTTTTGAGATGCGCTGATTTTATGTAAAATTTCGGCAGCTGTTAGATAAGCCGTCAAACAACTCTAGAACATTTTTCAAAATAATTAAGCTTAAAATCTTGTTTAAGACCCACTGGTCTTGAATTCTATATGACATATAGACTTTTTTGTTCACTACTGCCAAATCAGCTGGAATTTTCCCTAAAAAAAAAAAATTGCACTTTAATTAGTTAGTTGTGCGGTAATTTGAGCGCCTTTTATTTAACAATCCAGTGAAACGAACCAGAAAGATTTTGGAAATCGCCGAGTATTCAAGGATAAAACGTAATATTACAATGAATAGCTTGTTAATTTTAAAAATATTTTGATCTAATGATTAATTTTTATCCTTATTTATTAGTATGTATTAGTAAAAATCCTGATGTGGATTTGTAAAACCAACCATTATTTGTTAGAATTAAAAAAGGAAATAATTTTTTAATTTTAAATTTTGGATTCTTAATAAATAATGAAAAAAACCTCAACTACCAAATTTCATGAAAATTCCGTAATGTATTTAAATTTCGGACGCTCTATAAGATTTTCCATTTCCTAATACAAAATTTCATGAAAATTCAGCAATTTTATAATTCTTGGACGCGATATTTGATTCGCTATTTTACATTTTTGAAAATTTACGTCACATTTGATAAAAAAAATATGATGATAAAGTTGGCCTACTTCCAAAAAAGGAGGAGGTTATCAGCTCGTCGGAATATTTTTTATTTGAATTTTTTTAATTTATTTTTATTTTTTTTTATGTATGTTACCGCATAACTTTGGACCACGTCAACCGATTTCGATAATTCTTTTTGCATCGGAAAGGTAGTGGCCCCATACTAATCTGGTTAAGATCCGATCAGTGGATCATGAGATATATATATATATATATTTTTTATATGAGAGTTGAAGTCGGTTTTTTTTGCTAAAAATTACTTGTTTTATTAAAGGATCCTTTTTATTAGTTATACCTCTTTTGGAAAATATTTCTTTAAAAATAAGCAGTTTCATTATATATAGCATTAGGATAATTCTGGATGAATTTTTATTTTGTAATATTTCAAGTTAAATCATCATTTTCTAAGTTTAAAAAGTAGCTCCAAACATACAATGTTGATGTGTGAAACTCTGTGTACAACTTGAAAAGGCATTAGGTGCATCAGTTACATACATAAATATCTAGGTTTGATTTAATTTTATTTATTTTGTCAGGTCCAGCACACGACTTCTACTTCAGGATTATTTCATCAGGGTCATTCAGTGACTAGTTTTGAACTACCGCGTAATGACACCGAACTACTTACTTATCAGATTTTTCAATGATAATGCCTTTATTCCGATTTATGACTATTTTTAAATATACATACCTTTTTCGCGCAAAACATAGCCCCTAGCGACCACTGTGCGGTGCTGCCTTTAAGTTTTATCACCTTATTTATTTATTTTTTATAGTTTGGGTGCAGTAATTAATTCTTTTTTGCTTGTCACCAATTTGCATGCCAATTTCAGTTTTTGCGCCTTTGGCTTTTTTTAGCATACTTACAAGAACACTATGTTATACATATGTAGGCAAATATTTGTTTAAATATTTACTTTTGCAACTTTTTTTAAATTCTTCTACGACTGGTGTCTATGAGGTTAAAAACTTGAAAAAAAACACCGTAAACCTTATTTCTATTAAATTAAAGAATTTTCATTTAACTTGATTGCCATTTGTTTTGGTTGTGGGCGCATGCGCGCCAAATTCCGCTGTAAAGGCTGCGGCGGTATTTTCGCCGTTATTGGTTACTTATGTACATTTTATCTATAGCTGCTCATTGCTTACATTTGAGGTCAGCATTAATTACGTATGCTTATTCACTGCACCCACAACTGTATCGCCACACACGAATTGTGTTCTTGGTTTTGATTTTTATTTTTTTTTAATAATAATCGCATTTATGCCTCGGGCCTTCTGGCTCTAATCGTAAGTGGTACCAATTTATGTGTCACAATAATAATTCTTGTCTAGCCAGTAGCGTTACATTTGCAATTATTCGGTGGCATGATGACGCCTGTATTTTTGTGTGGAACTATTTTGAAGTAATGGGGCAATTCCGGTAACTGTCTTTCAACCCACCACAGCCTTTAAAAAGATGAAAGTCTTTCGTAAGACAATTGTCAATTCTAGGGGTTTAGTCTGTAACTAAAAGTTTAATTCAATTAAAAAGGATTAAATAAAAGGATTAATAAAATAAGTTTATAAAAAACATGTTTCTTTTTTTAGAACTATATTTAAATTTAAAAAAAAAATTGTATAAGAAAAATATTATAATTAAGAAAGTAAATAAATTTCAAAAAATTAAAAAAATAATTTTCTTTTTAAAATAATGTAATCTATGTAAGAAGAAAATTAAATCAAATTAAAAAATTAAATAACTTCCTAAAATAACATGATATTAAAAAAAAAATTTTTCTTAAAAAAAAAATTTAATACAAATAATAAAAAAGAAAATAAGTTTCTAAAAATTAAATGAAATTAAAAAAAAAATATTTTTCTTTTTAAATAACAATTCAAAAATTTAAAAGCAAATTGAATTAAAAAAAAATAAAATAGAATAAAAAAAAATAAAATAAGTTCCCAAAAATTACCAAGTCTTAAAACTGTCCCAAAAAGATAACTTATTAGTCCCAAAATTATCTCAAACCAGTCCCAAAATTTTCCTGAAATAGTCTTGAAGTATGCCGAAATGGTTGTGAAATAGTCCTGAACCAGTCCCGAAATTTCAGTCCCAAAATGAACCCGAAAATGGGCCTGAAATAGTTGTAAACAAGTCCTAAAGGGGTCTGAAATAGTTCCGAACTGGTGCAATCCCAGAATGGCCCTCAAATAGTCGTTAACAGACCCCGAAACGGTCGAAAGATTCGTGAACTTGTCCCGAAATGCTCTCGAAAAAGTCTTGAAACGGCCGCGAAATGGTCCCTTATTAGTGCCAAAATTATCCTGAACAAGGCCCAAAATGGTTCTAAAAAATTCTGACTAGTTGTGAAATGGTCCTGAACTGATCACAAAATGGCCCTCAAATAGTCGAACCAGTGCCGAAATGGTCCTGAACAGGTCACGAAATGATCACGAACTACGCCTTAAATGGTCCTGAAATAGCCCTGATCTAGCCCAGAAATGTTCATTTGTACACACTAGAATTAATTACAGATTTTTACACATCAAAAAATATAAACAAATCGTCCTTGTCGACAATACGAGCTTATATTGCGATTCGATGTCATAACTTAAATGAACGCGACTTCGAATTTTCATATTTTCATGCTGTGTTTAACGATATGCGCACTCTTCAAAGGTTCTATGGTAAAAAATTTTTTGAAATCACATAGCTAGCTCAGCTCTTATAATGAAACTGCGTGATTGATCTTCTTACTTTAAGTACTTCTCTTTTTAAAAATATCTTATATTTCCTTAATAATAATACATTAAATTTTCAACGTCTTCCCCACGCTCTCCAGGCTCCTACAATAATTTTCTGAATGCCGAGAAGGTCAACTCTATCAACATCATTTTAGAGGCATTCGGTAATACGAAAACCTGTCTCAACGCGAATGCCACGCGCTTCACACAGCTACTAAGCTTAGATTTCGATCAAACTGGGCAAATTGCCTCCGCTTCGGTGCAGGTACCAATTATTGCATAAAATTCCCATACAAAATCAATGCACCTAATTAAATAAAACTTTTATATTTATATAGATACTGCTGCCCGAGCGTCAGCGCGCCGGTCGTCGGCAACCCAACGATCACAGCTTCCATATAATGTGTCGTCTGCTCGCCGGCGCCGAAGGTTTGCTACAGAAAGAGTTGCATTTGGACAACATTTCCGCGGCCGATAATCATCCTTTCGTTTCACTGTCGCAAAAATTAGAGGAGCGTCATCGCGCAGCCGCTGAGTTTATGCGCACCACACAGGCATTGGAAGCGCTGAATATAGAACCGAAAGCGGTGCGTGGCATTTGGAGTATCTTGGCGGCCATTTATCATCTCGGTTTGGCTGGCGTTACAAAACGTGAGTGCAGTCGCTTATTTATACGAATTTCCGTTTTTTGTTTTTTTCGATACATTCACGCTTACTTTTTCAGTCAATGCTGGTCCGGCCTCGCGCGTACAGTTCGCCAACCCATCAGCCGCACGCCGAGCTGCTGGCCTACTCGGCGTGTCTATGGAGGATTTAACGGCGGCGGCTTTCAATGCCACTGGTCCTGGTGGTGGCGGCGGCACGAGTCCTTCGAAATCGCCTACCGACAGCACTGAGCAAGCTTGGGAGTCGCTCGAGGCGCTTGCCGTGGGTCTGTATTCTGAGGCTTTAGCTGCTGTCGTGGCGTTGATCAACAAAGCCATTTGCACCTCGGCGCACACAATCGCTTCTATTATGCTTGTCGATACGCCTGGCTTTCAAAATCCAGCCAGCTGCGGTCTGCAAACGGGTGCCACACTCTCCGATTTACGTCACAACTACCTACAGGAGCGCCTGCAGTTGCTTTTCCATCACACCACTTTGGTAGCGCCGCGTGACCGCTATGCGCAGGAGCTGGTGGAGATCGATACCGAGGGCATGCCAGAAACGCATCCTGGCCCGTTGGTCTCACTCATCGATAAGGCGCCACAAAATCATGTAGTGCGTTCGTCACAACGTGATTTACGTGAACACGATCGTCGCGGTCTGCTGTGGCTGCTCGACGAGGAGTCCATGTATCCCAACTGCAACGATGATACATTCCTGGAGCGCCTCTTTGCGCACTACGGAGATCGTGAGCATCAGACGCTGTTGCGCAAGTGCTCCGGACCCAAACAGTTTGTGCTGCAACACCTGCAAGGCACCAATCCCGTGCTATACACTGTCGATGGTTGGGTGCGGCATAGCCGTGAGCACCCCGCCATACGTAATGCAGTGACACTGCTGCAGGACAGCTCCCGCGATGAGATCAGCCGGCTGTATATTGGTTCGTTGACGCGTGGCGCTGGTGGTATAGTATTTTGTGGCTCCATAGCTGGGCTGGAAGGTACACAATCGTTGCGTCGTGTCTCCAGCATTCGACGCTCGTTCACCTCCGCTGGCGTGAAGCGTAATTCCATAATGTTGCAAGTGAAATTCACCGTGGATGGCATAATCGATACGTTGCGGCGTACGGGCACGCATTTTGTGCACTGTTACATGTTGCAACACAATGCCGGACAGCATAGCAGTTACTCGGCGAGTGGGTCGCCAAATGCAGCGGCGCTGCAATCGAGTAGCGAGGACATGGTGAATGTTCCTTTGTTGCGTAGTCAGGTGAGTGAAGTTGGCATGGCATTTGTGTAATTTATTTCAATGCATTCGATCTGTTATAGTTGCGCGGTTCACAAGTGCTCGAGGCGGCACGATTACATCGTTTGGGCTTCCCAGAATCAGTTCCTTTGGCCGAGTTTGTGCGTCGCTTTGGCTTGCTGGCTGGTGTTGATACCGCTGGCGCCAAAGATATAACCATAGAACAAATATTATCTGCTAACGAAGTGGACACTGCCACATACCGTATCGGACCTAGTCAAGTAAGTGGATTGATTGTCTTTCGTTATTCACTTCATACTAATAGAAAAGAGGTTGCAATTGAAATCTTGGCAATAAACCAGTGCGACTGGGTATTTCCGTTTCTCCTTAAATGTAAAATTAGTAAGGTAAAAACAAAATTCGCGTGTCAGAAAAGCGATTTTCTTCTAATTATTTTTTGAATTCATTTACCTATAAATTAGAAATTTTATCAACTCTTAAGTTTTTTAAATTAAGAATACACCGCTTGAGCTTATCGGAGCTCGAATTACTGTCCAATATAGTTTGTGTGCTCCCGCGCACGTTGCATAAACTAATTGGCCCATTTTCCATTTGCTTGCGCGCCATTTGCATTAGGAATAGTAGTTGTCTTAGTATTAATCCAAATAGAATAATATGAGGGTATCGATAATTGCCAAAGCCAAATAAAATTTAGTCAACACTTATACAATGAACTTACGGATTTGGAATTTTAATATCTTACCAAACACAACTAAAACTTTCTGAAGCTAAAAAAGTGCTAGATAATTTTAAAAATATCTAAAAAAAGAGCTAGGAGCTAAAGCCGAATTTTCGGAGCTAAAAAGAAAAATAAAGAGCTAAATCGAGCTCCAAAAGCAACAAAATGGCAACACTGGATGCCATGATTCGGGCCCTGATATCAGACATAACTACATTAAAATTTTTTTAATGATTTCAAGAAATTAAAACGGAAATCTAGACTTCTAAACAAAACTGAGAAGAGATCTCCACCCAAGTCAAGATTTCATATCGTGCCGACGACTATGCGGCACAGTTTGTTGTACCAGGCCTTTTTCCCCTCTATTGGGGGTCGTCCGTTTTAATGTTCATTACTCATGGGAACTAAATGGTAGCAAATAATAAAAAATATAAAAAAATAAAATAAGTAAAAAAAAATGTTTAAGTTAAATAACGTACTAAAAGCAAAAAAAAAATAGACAATAAAATATATCCCAGGTACCAGTCATCGCAGCACTCTCCTCATCAGTGTAGGTCATTGATAAGACTAGAAAACAAAATCGTGAGGGTGGTAAAAAAATCATTAGGGTGGTAAAAAAAAAATAATAATTAACGATCCCACCCCCTATGATTGTTCTGTACCAAAAAAAAATATATTCCTTTCTTTGAAATAAAAAAATATTTAGGGGTCGCTAAAACCCCTGAAAGTTTTCCTTGTATTTTATATGGGGGAAAAACAAGTTTTCGTAGAAAAGCTATAGAATTCTGGAAAATCAATGTTTTTTCGATCCGAAAACTTTGTTTCTCTTCAGGAGACAAGTTTCTATTACTTACTGTTTTTTACTGGATCCCTAAAAACCTCAAAAATGCAATGGGGGAACCGATAAAATATCGCTAGTATTTAAATTCCGACTACTTTTTTTTTGCATGCATTTTTGGGCCACACTAATGTGCATATATGGTGGCTTTCGACAGTCACCGCCACCTGGCGATTCAAGTTTTTCTTGTGCTTTATTGATTTATTTTGGAACGAATTTCCGTCATCCCTTGTCAAGTTTGGTTTGCAGACAAATTATTAATTTTAATTATAAGACAAAAGGAAGTTCTCAGCGTCAGAAGCAAAAATAAGAGAGCTATGAAGATAGTCTCCATTTATGGCTGTCTCGAGGGGGCCTAACTATTCGAACATAATTCAATATAGCAATAATTTCTTTTAAGACTTTTCATAACGTTAGATATCAGCTTTTGAGTCCAATGAGCCTTGCACAACCAAAATAAAAAGTTACCAAGACAGGCCGCAACCATAACTTTTTTCAGATGTTTCTATTTATTTGAAAAGTAGGTTCTGTATTCAATGCTGGATTAAGTGACACGCACGTTAAGGCTTCCTCGCCCACCTCCCATACAACGGTATTTTTCAAAAATACAAACACTACGATATTTAAGTAAATACTAGAACCAAATTGTTGAAAATTGGAGCGTGAAAAAGAGTTTTGCATAAAATACGAAAGTTATATAATTTTTGGGAGCTGCTTCACTCAGAATCGATGTTTGCAATAGCCTCTTAGTAGTAAATGAATTTATCAGAAATTTGTAGAAAATGGGCGTGGCAGCGCCCACTTATGACTACAAAAGTTTATCTCGGTAAGCGCTTTACAGATTTCCACCAAACTCGGTTCAATTATTCTATTAAGTCTAATTGAGCATTATATTGAAAATGTTGGAAATCGGGGAAAAACCGATATTAAATACGTGCTCCGGATATATGAAGTTCGGTTCCGCTTGTTTTTTAATGACTTGCTTTTATTTATTTTTTAATATTTTTAGGGACTAAATGCAAGGAATATAATTTCAAAACTTTTTTTCGTACTTGCCTTGCCATTGAAAGGGCTAAGACAAGGCGAATTCATATAAGGTGATGTTCTTTCATTAGCTGTTAATAGCGTGTGATTGAAATTTTTTAGTGAGTGAGTGAAAACGTACGAGTGTTTGTATTTTCTGTCGCACTTTTTCCTTCAGGAAGGAATAGCTGAGATTTGACAATGACCAGAAAAAGCCAAAAACAATATACAAGTAATTTTTTATTTGTTGATTCGATACCACCGTATATGAATTCATCTTGGGTTAAGAACGATTAATTCTTTTTATTTTTTATTTATTATTTTTTGTGCAAACGCTTGTTGCAATGTTCTGTTCTAAATGAAAAGAAAGTACATGTACGATTAATAAATATTTAATTCAATTAGTAACAGCTATAATAAGTTTGGTTCTTTTCGATTTTAGACAACTCAGCTTTGGTTAATTTTTTAGCTCTTTATTTTATTATTAAATTGTATCATCAGATATTTTATAATATTTGTACATGTAAACAACTGTGGCGGAACGATATAATCGTTGGTAAAAAAATCTTAATTATTATGTTTTTGAGTAATTAAGTATCATCTTTTATTTTATTATTACAGCATTCTTAGCAACTGCATATGTACATATCTCCGCCGCTTTAATTGCAGCTGTCGTTTCAAATTTTTCAACTCATAATTGCGAGCGGACTTCTAAATTCGCCTGAAAATAAATAAAATTGCTGTGTACACAACTGCGAAAAGTAGTATAATTAAAGTCACCAAACTGGAGCAATAAAAACATTTTTTAAATTTGCAACGAAAAATTCGTTTCAAAGTAATTTGCACCATTCTCAGCTACCGTATTCTAAAAAAATCTCATTTACTTTGTTTTTTATTTTGCACACATTTCCAACACACTGTCGCCCATTAGCGAGCAATCACATATTTTATTGCTGCGCTTCGTTATCTCGCTTAACTCTGGCGGCATACCCGCCTATGACTCTCCTAGAAGCTTACATAATACAAATGTGTTACAAACGCTTACGCCGAACACATATAAAAATAAGAAATATTTAGCCACTTCAATAGCCTGCCTGCCCGCTAGCCGCCTCAGACACTACTCGCCACCACTTTACAATTGCCCACTCTTACACACCACACTAGTTACGCTCATTTGTGCCACTTGGACAACATGCTGTTGATAAATTTATTATTCAAAAAGCTGCTGTGCAAGAATTTGGCAGGCGCTGCACGTCTGATTCGCACTGTTTCGCCGAAACCAAATGGTGGCGACTTGGAACGAGTACTCAGATAGAATGTGCCGTTTTTTGGCACAGCTGGTTCACCGCCCATGAACGCTGTCGCAGTGCATTCACCTGCCGCCGTTGCCGCCGCTATTGTTGTTGCTGCTGCTGCTGCTGCTGCTGTTGCAACATTTGTGCAGCCACACTCCATTTGGTCCCACAGTGTACCACCACTGGTACTGCTGCTGCTGCTGCTGCTGCTAATATTATTGTTATAGCTGCTGCCGCCGCGACGTCTGCACTGTGCTGCACCGAAGGCGCGTGGTTGTCGCACCGTTTCCACAAAGTAATACAAGGCCGCAAAATGATCGCATGCGAAATCAAATTCTGCAGCCGTTGCATTTGGACAGTGTGGCTGTCCTAGACCCCAATTGACGAAGAATGCTGCATGAGTGAGTTTGGTGCTCGGATTGCCCAGCAGCGTGATGTCCGTGTGTATTGATTCGGTGTAGATGGCATCGTTTGGTGCCAAGCGCTTGTCTTCGCCCAGTGAGAGCTGCACCAGGCCGGCTGGGTCGAGCGCATAGATGACGCCAAAACGTTGTGGGCTAAGTAGTTTGCCAGCTAAGCCAGCTATGTGTGCTCCAGCGCTATGACCCACCATGTAAATGGATTCGTAGGCAATGCCGGCTTCACGATGTAAGAAACGCGTGAATTCCACCAATTGCTTCGCTATGTCAGATAATTGGCGGCTAATGCGTCCGTAGCTGATGTCCATTGAAATGGAACTCCAATCGAGTAGGATTACATTAAAGTTGCCCACCTCGAGGTAGGCGTCCTTAATGGCTGCGTTCGAACAGGACGTGCTCTTGCCGGTCCACCCGTGGATGGAGAGTCTGAAAGGAAGAGAGAATGATGGTTGCTATGTTACAAGTTCTTATTTAAACTAATAGGGCAATTCTTAGGGGAATCCCTTAAACTCGTAAAGTCTTAAACTGCGTAAAACTCGTAAGTTTCCGAGGCTTTTATGGGAACGCCCCCTTTGTGAAAAAGTGTAAATAGGTGCGTATAGTGACTGTTTGACAGATCAACCAGGATTTTGCGAAGAATTTTTGTTTCGTAGTATTTTCCATAACATCCCGCCATCTTGTCTCTATCACTCTTGGCTAAAATACAATTAAAAATGCCAAAAATTAGCAGAAACCTAAGTCAATACAGTTAGTGGGCGAAATTTATTTATTTTATTCGCTTATTATTTTTTTCATTATTTTATCATACATTTTAGTATACAAATTTCGACCCCTCGGCAACACTGAAGTTTACGAGGTCGTTTGCGCATCAAATTTGCCTCGTAATTTTATAAGGGGCTCGTAAATAGAGCTCCATAAAAAGTTTGACAGTTCTTTAACGAGGCTCGTAAATTTACGAGCTTTACGA